CCCCGTCCTTTTAAACCTCGGCCAATCAAAGTAAATGGTCGTCCATCCTGAGGATGAAGATTTATTCCCACTGTCGCCACTGTGCCGCTTAGGATAGGAGGTTTTGACTAAGAGATGACCTGAAGCAAGCTCATGTCTTCCTTACAAAACTCTTACTAGTTGAATTTCATAAGGTTCAAGATTCAAGGCGACTGTCATTCAAGCATGTGATATGTGAGGTGTAATGAAACTGTGTACTCAGTTAAACCCAAAAATAGCAAAAATATAAAGAATAAAAAAGAAACAGTATACAATGATCTAACATATATGCTAAACAATAATATAATGTAAAAAGGTGTATTAAACAGCAGCCTGAACATGGGTCTGTTGTGGGTAAGAAATCAGCAGCACAGATAAAGTGTCAAATCTCCGATTAAAGTGACATCACAGTGATTATTCTAGTTAGATATTCATGAGTCTAACAGCTTCAGGGTAGAAGCTGTTCCTCAGTCTAGTGGTTCTACACTTAATGCTCTTCAACCTCCTTCCTGAGGGGAACAGGGCAAATAGTGTGTGCTGGGTGAGTGGGGTCCTTCATGATGCAGGTGGCCCTCTTCCTGCATCTGGAGGTGTAGATGTCTGTGATGGTGGGGAGGCTGACTCCAACATCTTCTGTGCAGCCTTCACCACTCTCTGCAAAGCTTTTCTTTCTGCAGCCTCCATGCCACACGTTGATGCTGGAGCACAGGATGCTCTCCCCTGCACCTGTAGGAGGTGAGGACTGAGCTTCCCTGACCAGCTCGCCTCAGCCGCCTGAGGAAGTAGAGTCGCTAGCACACCATATGTGAATGTTTTGGATTAAAAAAATCTAATAAATACCTTTATAAGGTGGCATCTTTAAAAAAAAAAAATATCATTGTGTTAGCTTGATTTCCCATCATGCCTCTCAGCAGTGGTCAGTGCTCAGTGAGAACAGAAGATAAAGCAGGTGGAGTAGTTTTGGCTCAGGCTGTGGGAGCCGTTAAAATCCAATCAGATGGATCAGTGAGAGGAGGAACAGGAGGAGCCGCGGGTCAAACTCGAGTCCTCCCAGCTGCTCCTCACTCTGCAGTGACTCGCAGAGATCCAATCAGACGGAACCGGCACAGGAGACAGGACAAAATCCACCTCGGCTCTGACACAACGTGGGCTAATATTGAGACAAAGAGAACGACACATCAACTCTTAAACAGCATTTATTTATTCATTTCAGAAACTTTAATACCGTCGTCTTTTTTTTCATACTTTTACATCTTACAAAGACAATGAATCTGGGATGTAAACAGTATTTTCAATCCTGTAAAACGTGTGGTCCTCTGTGAGTTTTTCTTTCATCAGTGAGAGCTGATCAGCTTACTGCGAAGTTTGTCGAACCGGAGCAAACCAAACGCATCACGAGCTTCGTGAGACCTCCTCTCTCCTGCTGCAGTCACAGACCTCACAAACTGTGCGTGACAAGCATCCCCACAACACGAGCCACATCTAACCTGTCCTCTCTCTTGTTTATCATCATGTCGGCGTTGCTTCTGGAGAAGTCAGGTTCACTTTTTGTGGAGTGATTAATGTCCTCGCAGGGAAACTATCGGCAACATCTAGTCAAGATTGCACAGGAATAAAATCACCCTTCTTATACCCAAAACTAGCATACTGGTATACTGAACACTGTGCAAAATATCTCACCAACAGGTTTTTACAAAATAAAAATGGAACATTTTAAACATCTTAACATTCACATTTATGATACCCTTCATTCAAGCAACAAAAACAAAGCCATGAAGAGGAGATCTAACTGGAAATGAATACAATGTTCACAAATTAAAAATAAAATGGACTGACCTTTCGCGCTTTAATATCCACATCGCCCGTTCTCGCATACTTCATGACAAAAACCAGTTGCTGCATTAAAAAAATGGTCTTCAGTCATCTCAGTCTTTGAATTTAAGCATCGCTGTGTTCAAGACAAACAAACCAAGAGTTAAATCTAATCCCGGATGGCTCATATATTTAGTATTTCTTCTAACTGACTGGATTTCACAACTGCACAGCTTGTTAAACCATTAAACCCAGATGGAAACGGTCTACAGGTGTAACCAACATCCAAACAACCCCCACAAAAAACAGATTCCTAAAACAGAACCGAGTCCAAAAAACACGTCTCTGCAAAACAACAGAGCTGAATGAAAAGAGCAGCAAACGTCACATTTCTTTAAGTTTGTTTTCACTTTACATTTCTTGGTGCCAATTTGTGAAAGACGCAGCACGGATTTAAAGGCTACAAACGTAAATAGACCTCCACGGTTCTCATTGCAAATTAAGAATTTAAGCAAAAGTTGTCCTGGCCTGAATCAAACGGTGCAGTTGGACTTGTCTGCAAACTTTTCTCAATAAGTATGAGCGTAAATGCACAATACATCACAACTATCAGGCTGGTCCATCGCAAACAGTTCTGCCTAGTAAGAAGCAGCACCCATTATTATCCACCTGACAAAGGGTTTCTTAACTTTATTTATATCCAACTCCAGTCAACTTTAATGCGGCCCGAACCGCAACGTGTACCCCCATAACGACCGGCTCTGCAATGTGATGTGTGCCATTACTTTTATTGGCTTTTCAAGTTACCGTGGCGACGCAATTTGCAAACAAAGAAGCCATTTTTCGCATGCAAAACGCCCGATGGAACATTTTTCACCCCTTAACCACAGCTCTGAGGTCACATGACCTAGAGTGGAGAGGTCCCTGAAGGAAAATAAGAAAGTCATCGAACCACATCTGTTAAGACATGCTTATACATTATAAACCACAACGTAGGCATTTTGTCGTCTACATTTTTAAATGGCTGCCGCGTGGCAGTCCTTGTCAAAGTTTCTGCAGGAACTCTCTAGTATGATTAATGCTATTGCCCCCCACTCACTGGCATTGCAATGAGTATCTTTAATGTTTTAAAAGAACAGTGTGGGGAAATAGTCCCGTTATTGTAATTCAAATGTTTCTTTGGATTTGCTCACATTTGAAGTAGTTGTCGAAAACATCTGAATAGTTCATGACCTTTGTGGCTCTACTATCCTATATTTATCTTACAGGGTCCTGTTGCTCTACAATACACTCGTGTGATTAATACAAAGGCACACATATCCAAACACTTCACACAAACACCATTTTGCACCGCTGACCTGTCTGTATTACCTGACTGCAGTAAGTATTACAGGAATCTGCCGCCTGGCAGCAGTAAAACTAGGTGAAGTTTACAAACAGGTGTATGTTGCTGTAGCAGGTGTGTTTATCTCTCAGGGTGAGGATGAGATATCCTTTTGCTCTGCTCCAGAGGTGCTGTTTCAAAGGCACGTCCCTGCTCTGCCTGAGAGTAAATGACCAAATGTGACTGTAGGCACGACTGGATAGACCAATGTACATTCACGCAATGACACAGCAGGCCCCTCTAATTATGATGTATTTTATTATACTGTGCAATTTTTCTTTACTTTCTAACATTATATTTTCCCTAAAAACCGAACCTGAGAAAAACTAATGCTCACACACACGCACACCAAGTCTGCTCCTCTTTTTTTAATTATTAAAAACCTACATCTGATTGTCTCTAAAAGGCTGTCTGCTGAATCTTGAGTCCTAGTCCTGTTCTGAATGTTTGTGTGGCCTCGTTTATCGATGTCTCGCTGATTACTAAAGAGGCATTTGGGAAAGAAAACAGACTGACAGGCAGCACATTTACAAACCATGACACTTCCACTGGTCACCACTAGAGGGCACTGTAAGCAACACAACAGCAGGCTCGGGCACCACAAATTACAACAAAATACGAAATAAAAAGCATATTAGTCAGGCTTTAGGTAGAATTAAGAAAGAAAGCCAGGTAAATGATACAGCTAGTGACCATTCGCCTTAAAGAACTAAACACTGTCAGTTGTACTGTACGAATAGAACAACTCATTTAATGGAAATATAATACAAGGAAGTAAATTAACCTGGGAATAATGTGTCCTGCCTAAAATTGTCCTTGTAATTTATTATCAGCCGCCTCGCTCTGTATTCCAGACAGCGTGATGATGAGTCTTTATTTTCCTGTTCCCCTCTGAGCGGTCAGTGGAAAAGGTCGAAGGCTTTTGTGCAGCAGAGACTGGCGTTCTTGCAAACCCTCCAAACCATCTTTTTCCACTTGGAGCTTCTTTATGAGAGATAACTCTCCGTTTTATGAGAAAAAGACAAGAATCCTGACTTCTTCCTATTGCTTTAAAAACTGAGATGAACCACAGATTTTGGACCCATCTTGTTTTTTGGCACTGCTTGCCGATGGCTTTTAAATGCACTCCCTCTTCAGTCGCTTATGCACTTGAGTCAAAAAGATCCAGATTTCAGTCACAAAGGAGGAAAAAAGTCATTTTTTAGTCTAAAAAACACAGGAGCTAATTTAATTTCATTTACATGTAAAATAAATCTCTTTTCTGTCCAGTGTTGCGTCGTGGCTTCAGTTTCTTTATCTCCAGATTTGTTTGTGCTCCAACAAACGCGGCTCTGTTGCGTACCTGCGTGTGCGGCGTTCCTCCAGTCTTCTTCTTTTAGATCACCGGGATGTCTGAGCGAGCCCACGCTGAGGCGGCTTTGATTTGGCACAAAAGACTTTTGTCCCCCTTTCAGAGCAGCTGGACATCGTTTCAAACAAAGTAGCAGGAACACAAAAAATAAAATAAAAGAAGAAGAAATCGAAATGTAAAAGGTCAAATGTAGAAAGAGAAGCTTTGAAGCTTTGAGCAAAGGTGACACGAACAGGGAGCTGATTCTTCATTTTTAGCGACAGATTAGGTACGAGGGGCGGTAGGAGGAGATGAAGTTGGTGATTTTGCAAAAAAATATTTTATCATATGGAAAAGTATAAACAGGAGAGTAAAAATGAGTCCTTCATAGTCTGGATTTCATCTTCCAGTGGTAACTAGAAGACTATTATTGACGTTGGCAGTATTTCCAACTCGTGCCTGAGGCCAGTGGAGGGTTGTAGAAAGGTTTATCAATCACGGTAACGGAGTCCTGAAGGTCTCAGCTTGATCCCCCTCTGCTTCTTCACCCAGACTGTGTGCGGATGTGCTCGTCAGTGGGAGTTAACGTTTGAAAGAAGACGTCAGTTCATGTCGATGGTGTTGAAGACCCACTCGGTGAACTTCTTGAGCTTGGCGGCGGAGGTTTGGGACTCTTCCTGCAGCCTCTGGTTGTCCTCCCAGAGTCTCTTGATCTGCGACTGGAGCCGCAGTTTTTCGTCTCGCTCCTGTGAGAGAACGGAGGGTCGGGGGGTTAATCGTCAGAACGTTCCGCACGAGTGAGCAACGGCTAATCAAGTGAGCGGAGTTAAAATGAGCTTCTGCATGAAAGTGACGGGCTGAAAATGGGATTGTGCATCACAGGGTGGAAGTTTAGGCGAGTGCTTACAAAAATCCAACAAAACACGAAATCTACATTATTCAGAGTAAAAAGAAAAAGTTCCTTTAAAGTCAATTTCTAAAACGACAAAGCATTAAAGCCAGTTCAATAAAATGCACATAAACAATGTGAAAATGTAACGACTGTCAATCCTGTTTAAAAGAAGACACGGCCACTCGTTAAGATGTTTATATATATATATAAAGTAAGTTTTGTGATTGTCTATTGTTGTCCACTGTTGTCATCATTTTTTGTTAAAATCCAGGTCTCTCTTGTAAATGAGTCCTCGTGGCTCAATGGGACTAACCTGTTTAAATAAAGGCTGAATGAAAGGAAAGTTAAATATTTCTAAAGTAAGTTAATAACAGTATTAATCTGACAGAAACTGGACGTTGGTTCCACAAGAGAGGAGCCTGATAACTGAAAGCTTTGCCTCCCATTCCGATGTTGGAAAATCTAGGAATCAAAAGTAAACCTGCAGCCTGACAGCAAAGTGCTCTGTTAGGAAAATATGGGACAATAAGAACTGTAATATAAGATGGAGCTAGGTTGTTGAGGGCTTTGTATGTTAGAAGACTTTGAATTCTATTCTGAATTTGACGGAGCCAGTGGAACAATGCAACAAAATAAGTTGCCATTTTTTGTGGGTTTATTTAAGGATTTAAACTTGCAAACAGTGAGTCACAACTACTGGTTCTGTAGGCAGATTTTATCATTTGACATCTTTAAATCTATACTCGATTCATCTGAGCACAAAAACAGCAAATGAAAAATTAAGACTGCAATACTTAATATTTTACGCAGTCAATCAAATTCAGCTCATTTTCTATAATCAATGATTAATCAGGTTATCAGATAAACAGATGAGAGTTGTGTGATGGAGTTAAATTCCAAGCAGTCTGCTCCTCAGATAAAGTGTTAAATTATGATTTTTATGAATGATTTTGTTAATTTGTTATTTTTATATACTGTATGTATGTTTCTGTACAGTACCCTGAGATGACTTCTGTTGTGACTTGGCGCTTTATAAATAAACTGAACTGAATTGAAATAAATAATTTTACCTTAATAAAGAGTAATAATAAATCTTTGAAAAGGTAAATAAACTAAACTAAAAGTTATGAGTCTAAAATGAGCTAATATTTGATTAGTGTTCCAGAAAACAGCAAAACACAGAACTAAACCATAAATATTTTGTACAGGAACGACGTCCACTGTTGTAATTGATCATTTTTCCAAACTAAACGTGACTGCTGAGAAAAATAGAGAATAAAACGCGTTTGAAAATGCTGACATATTATACACAAAAAGAACATACAATACAACCTGAACCTAAGGAATATTTTAAATATTTTACTGCTTTTATGAATATGCTCACAAACCCTAATGATCATCTAATCAATATGTTTGATCAGAACCACCTTTCTAATAAATTACACACTTAATATCTTCACAGGTAAAGTTGGACTTAGCCATTTGTGCCCAGTTTCTAAATTTTAACAGTTTTCTTAAAAAAGGCATGCACTTTAAAAGATTTTTATATTATTATATTATATTACATTACATATTTATTTTATCTACAATCATGTTGAAAGGATTTCCTGCCCTCACCGATGCTGCAGTCAAATAAAATATTCAGTTTCAGGCTTTAAAGTACAGTCATAATTAACATGATAATATGGAAATCACTCTTTACTTTAAAACACTTGTTTTAATTTTATTTCGTAAACAAGATAAATAAAGTTGGTGCTTTCCGCTGAGGTTATAAAACATCATTCTGCTTTATTAAGCTAATTCAGATTATAATTTCCTCACACTACATATTTTCCTTTTCTTTTGTTTGAATGGTCTTGAACTCCCATCCCACTCACTCTTGAAACAAAGAAAATATTAGTTTAAAAGTGTAGAAGGGTGAAGAAAATGATTTCTATACACTACTAGATCAACTAGACCTCTGTGCGTACAACGATAAGCATATTTATTATGGTTTTGTGTAGAGCTCGACCGATATATCGGTAGGGGCCGATATTTTAGGTTGATATAAGCGTTTGGGGACGTATCGTATAGGTGACAATTGGCCCATTACATGCCGATATAAACACTTCTATTTTTCACCTCTAGAATGATGGGAACGAGTCCTTACTTGCAAATGGTGTAATTGTACAATGTTTCCAGCAGAGGGCGTATGCGGACTACAGTAGTCCCTCGTTTATCGTGGGGGATCCGTACCCTGAAGCCCCACTATAAGTATATATATATAAATATATATATATATATGTCATGAATGTCAGAATGTCATGATTTCAGCTTCCTGTCTCCTCTGTTCTTTGCACCCTACAAGCGCTCTCGGCCACGCCCACTTCTCAACTCTGCACGGAGAACAGCTGATCAGCTGCAGCAGGAAGTTTATCCTGCAGTAAGGGCTGCACAAAGGTACAGGAGGTGCTAAATAATTTAAAATATTTTAAATAGAAAGTCCATGCCGGTCATGTGGCTCATCCATCAATTAGGCATTTGTGTGTCATGTCCAATCTTATTTTGAAAAACCGCGATAGAGCGAGTCCATGATAAACGAAGTAGCGAGGGACTACTGCACTTTCAAGTCACGATGACCATGCTGCTCACAGCACAGCCGAGCGGAGACCCAAGAAGCAGGGAGCAACTAAATACTGTGTAGCTAATTGTAATGATCTGTAAAATAAATTAAAAATCAGCAATAAATTTTCTTCAGTCCTCCAACTGCTTGTTATTAGCTAGCCACGTGCCTCTCAAGTTAGCAAGCAAGCGTTTAGATAACCTAGCATTGGCTACCGCCTTGTAAAACTTTATCCAGAACAACAAATCTAACGTAGCAGTAAAATAAAAACGTCATCTTTGCCGTCCTCAATGAAATGCATCGTTTGTCTGAAATCTTTACTTCTCTGCAAAGAAATCAAACTCCGCCGCGATCAATACTAATTAAGACCTTCACCATACGTGACTGCCTGATGAAACAATGAACAGGGAAGAGCATTCATTTGTTTAATTTATATTTATGTAACACACTTGATAACTTTATGGTGAATAGTGGAGGACAGAAAATGTGAAGGCACATTAGGAAAACTGGTTTTATGACCAGTGCACCACTTGTAAACCTAGGATCTAATTTGCTTAGCTTCGTGGTTGCTAACAGCTGCGCTAATTAAACAAACCCCACTCCACCAGCTAAAAATATTATTTGTCAGCATATCGGTTATCAGCAATAATCAGATATTAGACTTCCCCTCCCAATATCGGTATCGACGACAACCAAAGTTTCCATATCGGTCGAGGCTCTGGTTTTGCGTCTGTCTCACCTTCTTCAGATCCTCCTGCAGCATCTTCACCATGGCTTCTAGTTTAGTCACCTTCCTCTCCAGTCCTATGTGACCCTCACTGTGGAAAGAAACATCCTGTGAGGAGGCTTCGTAAATACAGCAGAGAAATTAATAATTACTGTGCGTCAACAACTGGCAGTCTTGAGCTCATAATTTGTAGCCTAACTGTGATTAAACACGGTTTACAGCAGAAATTCTGTGGCAGCAAATCGTCCCTTAATCTAACGGGACGTTTTATTAAAGATTTAATAAAAGTGTGGAGTGAACAAACAGAAGCATGTTACGAAAACAAGCTAACAGAAGCAGCGCGGGTGTATCGTTACCTTGACGATGGCCGTGACATCGGAGCAGGCTGCAGCTCCATGTGGGGCTGCTGAGGACTGGATGCACCGCTGCTTCGGTGGTTGGACTCCCCGAACACGTAACTTCTCTGAACTGGGAGACAGAAATGGAGAAAAGTGAAGAAAAGCACACTAACAAAAGAGTTTAGTTACATTAAATGGTGAACAGAAGTTTATTGTTACTGTAGTGTGTGGTTCTCTCATTATCAAAGGTACTGGCCACATCCACCAGGTGAGTCCACTCCAGAGGACTTTCCCTATCTGAGGATGGGAGGGGCATCAGCTCCTGAGGGAGGGGTCCTCGATGTCGCTCCACCAAATCCACCAGTGAGGTGTCAGATGCTGAAAGGTCACCTGATTTAAATTATGAAAAGCACAAGATAAATAATAATAATAATCAATATGTCACATCTATGACCATTTTGCATTTTTCACTTAAAAGGGTGCAGCAGATAGTTACCGTATTTTTCAGATTATAAGGCAGATTAAGCGATACAAGTTCATTTTGACAGATTTTTGAGCACCGTGTACCACATAAAATCCGTTGGAGGTCAGTAAGAACAACTAGAATGAATACATAAGGCACAACGGATTATAATACTCACTGGTGATTTTTGAGAAAAATTAAAGGATTTTAAGTGCGCCTTATAGTCTGAAAAATACGGTAAATAAATATTTAAATCTACTACGCTGGCTTTTTTGTTAAGAGTTTTATTTCTTTCTTTCTTTTTTTTATCTCGACAATTTGTATATTTCAACATGAAACATTTTCCCTTGATGAGCATTGTTCAGGCCACCTGGATAAATTAAGTGACCAATAATAATGCAATCCAAAGCACTTCCCTGTCAATAAATCAAAAGCTCAAACCATATTTAAGTAAATACGATCGCGCGCATGTAAAATGCAGCTTATATATTTTGTAACGTATTTTTCAAAGTAGTTAAATGCCCAGCAGTGAAACAGAGAAGAACCATTTCCTCCTTTTCTTACCATGAAGTTTGACTCCAAGCTTGTACGAAGGCCGTCTAAGAGGGACGCCACGGGTGGTGGGTGAGCGGGGAAGGGTGGAGCAGCTAAAGAGGACGTCAGGGCTGAGAGTGGGTTCAGTCACCGAGTCGCTCAGCGAGGGAAGCCGCTGACCGCGATAGATGCTCTCGTCTGACAGGGTGCGATGGAGCGAGCGGCGACG